AGAAAAACAAGAATCTGTGATGAAATTACAGTGGAAACTTCTGTAAACTGAAAGTCAAGCACTTTTAGAAGTTCCTTTGTAGCTGACTCTCCACAGCTTTCTGGCTCACCATTTGAAGAAAGGGATTTTATCTTAATATTTCCCAAACAAAAATGGAGTTTAAAAATTGAATGTGATTATAGAGAGACTTGGAAGTTGAGTTTAATACAACTTGGCTGCTACCTGTTGCAGCACAATGATCATATGAATGGGTAGTTTACATTTATCTAGGGTAAATGTTGTTCAGAAAATGGGACACTTGAGTTAAAAAAGAAAGAGTAACTGCCGTAGGCTAATGTAACAGAGACCGATTTTACTTTCTGAATGTTGATAATTTTATAAACATTTAAATGGGTCATGTTTTTAGAAGGGATAAAAGATAAAACAATGCCTTACAGAAATATTAAATGTAAAAGAGTTGGTGCATTTGAAAATACATTTTAATACATTTTCATTGTATTTGCTTAGAGAATTAAGTATATAAAATATTCCACTTTTTTTTTACTTCTTGAGAAATTCACAAAGCCTTATCAATATTCATTCAGCTAATTTGACATCTTTTACTATGCACAGTATAGAAACTGTCTTTAGGTGGAACAACCACTAAATTTTTATTTTTGTAATTTGCTTTCTTAACCTACATCGCATCTGTGCCATCTGATCAACTCCTCTTAATTTCAGTTTGGTTTACTCCTGCATTCACTTCCTCCAAGTAGCCAAGTCTGTCACTAACATTACACATACATAAATTTTAATTTTCAGGATTTTCAAACTTTTGTTTAGGATTAGTGTCAGCTTCTGCTATTTGCTTTGAGAAGCTGTGATACAGTGTCAGGACTCACTGCAGACAGAACCTGGGGCAGTCACCAGTGAAACAAGGTAACTAAATTTATTCCCCTTCCTGGGGTGTCTTCATTGGCATCACTGAGGTGAAGGGACGCTTCTTGCTTAACAAGACATTGAAATTCATTATTAAAGATGCAGGAGCCTAGCTCAAAGCTGCATTCAGTAGGTCACCAGTCATTTCTGGAGCTGTCACTGTGCCAGCAGCACCATGGCCCCTTTCCTCCTTTTCCATTACATCCCTGATACCACGAGGTCAGTAGAACCAGATTTCTGTTGTGGGGTTTTTGCCTTGGTTTTGTATAATGTGCCTGTGGGTTTGTCACTGAAGGTCAGTTTGCCTGATGTGTCCTGCACAAGATGTGTCCTGTCCTGGACTCCTCACTCCAGCATTCATCCATCTCTGTTCAGTAGTTCAGCACGGAGCCTTTTAAATCAGTCTGGGTTATACAGAGGGGTGCAGAGTGCAATATGTGCCATTCCTTGGATTCAATTACAATGGCCAAATTGCAGCTGTTTCGGGCAGGTGCTTCCTATCAGTGTACCTATTGTGCACGTCATCCAGCACAAGTGCTTTCCCATTTTCATTTCCCTCATTTTCATTCTGCAGGCTGTCAGAGCTTCTCTTCCCTTCTCACAAATCCTTTAGTTCCGCTGTGTGTATCACTCTTGCAGTGTAATGATTCCAAGCCCTGCTATGCAGTTTGCTTCTTTGTAACACACCATATTTGTTTCTATTGCAAGTCTGAACTTCCCATTCCTTTGAAGTTCATGTCATTTTTCCCTTACCTTGAAAATTCATAGGTGAAATTATCTCCTTCCTTCCTCTGCATGTTAATTGCAAGCAGTTATAAAAATTTTTGCTGTCTACAGTTTGAGCTACTGCTACACTTCCTTTAGTGCCGTTTTTTGTTGTAATGTATCTTTTCCTATTAAGTATTTGCCTGCCTTTTTCTCAATCTGTATTTTTTTGCAAAGCAAGTTTTGTGGGGTTTTACGCTCTAACTGAATCAAATTCTTTTTGTATTCAGCACAGCAATCTTTGACCAGTTGGGCCATTTTTCAATCAGCTAGCTTTTACTTCCAATATTGTTCTTTCATGTATGTTCAGTGAGTCTGTGCAGTAGTTCTCAGGTGGAAGGATTTTTAGAAATATTTTTAAGTTTAGCAACTTTACCCTTCCAGCTTTTGTGATGTTTTAGGAGCCTTTGTCCTTTTAATGTTTTGACCGAAAGAACTTTACAGCTTTCCACTGTAATTACTCACATAATATTATGCTATAATAGCTCAAGTCTGATTGTTTAAGCATCTGAGTAGGACATTTCATGAAAAAATTACTCCTACAAACATAGCTTTGTACTTGACATTTCTACACAGAAGCCACTAAACAAGAGATTAATTCTTCTCCTTTGGGCTCAGTGCAGTTCTTTTATCTGTGTAAGTGATCCTATTGATACATAAGGACTTTTCATATCACCCATGATTGCAAGACTGGACTCTTGCCTTCATATTTTGGAGACAATTTAAGGCCTGTTCAGCAGTAGCTGCTTGTGGCATGGAGTGGAATTCATGCTGTGCCAAGCACTCAGTTTCACACAGCTTATTACTAATTCCACTCTAATGAAAACCAAAAGGCCATCCTGCTTTTCCTCTTCATTGCTCTTCCTACAAAACAACAAATGTCAGAACATCTTGTGGAATAGGAATTAATGGGGCAACATTACATTCAATTTCTTCACTTTTTTTTTTTAAGGAATTGCAAAAATTATGGGTTTGCTATGGTCCCAGTCATTAGGTGGTTTTGTTAATTGCAATAAATGTTCTGAACTTTCAAGTCTGAAGAACAAGGGGTTTCGTTACTCAGGATTTATCACTGGAAAAATCTATCTATTCAAATATAATTTGTAAGTACTTGCAAATTATTTTGGATTTTTAAGTCTCTAATTTTTTTATCTTCCATCTGATTTACCTGCGGCAGTTGCCTTTTTTATAGGCCATTCACTCTACTGAGGGAAATGCTTAGGAAAGATATTGTATCTATGAGAAGCAGAGAAATCTTGCATTTTCCCAGTGATTTCTGGGACTACATTTCCTCTGTCAGTAGCAATTTAGTTATAAGCATTCTCGTTGTAAGTCCTTTATAAAAGGACATTATGTTTCGATCATTTAATACCTGAAGTCAAAAAGGACATTAGATTTACTTTGGTAGGAATTGAAAATGTATTGTAGTAGTCAGAATCCTCAGGGGAAGGTTTCTAATAAAATCTCTGTTTAATTTATTCATATGTGGAAATACAGTCAATATTGAAATATGAAATGTCAATAAAAGTAAAAAAGTATTAGCATTCAGTGTATGTTACACTGCACAGCCTTGCCAGTTTGGATTTTTTTTCGCAAAGCATTGTTTCTCAAAGTTTCTATGTGCTTTTAAAAAAGTAATCTCTAAAGGAAAATGAAATTAGTCTGTAAGAGTCATGAAAATGGGTAGTTTAATTTTTTTTTAAGCTACCATATAGAAATGAAAGGAAAATTATCCATAATGTTTCTCATTACCATGAATGCAAATGAGGGGATAATTTTCTAACATTCATGTGTGGGATTCACTGGCTGCCTGATGGTGGCAGAGACCACTCAGCTGTTTGCTTGCTATTTTATTGTCTCTACTGCCTTAGATAAAAGACAGCAGCCTAAAAAGTGTTAAGGCAGAGAAAATATGGCAGAATATTCCATTAACATGATGTCCTCTTCAGTAAACTTCTAACTTATGCATGGATTTCTGAAATATTTACCAGTTCCAAGTTCACTGCCAAATCCTAAACCAGTGGCAAAGGGAGAAGTTTTTATTTTCTAGTCAGGGCTTCCAGGATGATACCATCTGCTCCCATAGCTCCAAACAAGCCACCAGCAGTAATTCAAAACAAAATGCCCCAGGATGGAATAATTTTCCCTTGGGGCTTTATTGCTACAAGAGACAGGGCACAGGACGCAGTTTCACGTTGGTTCTCTGCTAAGGAAACATTGCCTGGAAGCCATCCAGGTCTCCCGTGGCTTTGTCTTTTCTTCTCTCTCTGACCAGCCATCACTATGAATATGTTCCTTCTGGCCTCTTGCTGTAAAACTCATAAGGCTAGTGTTGATCTGCATTGATGGAATTGCATAGTTGGATTGGACTTTCTCAAGCGTGTTGTTTCCCTCCTGTTCTGTGTAGACGTCCTTGTATTCCCCTTCCACTATAACTTCAAGGAATAAGTTGAAGAGCGACATTGTAATTCTGAAAGCTGTCACTGTATCTAATGCATTAGAAAGGTGGTCTTCTTGATACTGAAAGAAAATAAAAAGAGAAAATGCTTGTTTTCCAGTACAAAATTCCTGTATATAAATTTGCAATATGTTTTTGTCGTTATTCTCTAACAATAACTTTAAATATCTCATTTGTTTTCTATATTGTCTGTGGAAAAGACTGAGTCAATTTAAGAAAATGTCACATAATTATTAATGGAATAAATGGAAACATGGGAAGCATAGCAAATTATTTGCCTATAAGTCACATTACCACTGTGAGATACATTTGAGGAGCTCTAAATGTTTAGGAAAGCAGATGTTTAACTCCCAAAAGCTTCTCTTCAGCCATCCTCTTTCACCTTTCTGCCTTTCTTTAGCCAGCACATATGAGGCTGAAATTAATTGAAAACTTTTGCTCACTTTCAAATGCACATTACTTCACATGGAGTACTGAGACTCATTAACTACTTTGGCAGTTTTCCAGAGTCCCTTTCTTTCTCTGTTACTTATCAATAAACAGAACTTTTGGGGAGGCTATTAGTTTTTTGGGCTTGGTTTTGTTGGGATTTTTTTTTTAAAAGGAGTTTGTGCATGACTGTCTGCCATTCTCTAGATCTACCACGTTGCCTGTTTCTCATCCAGAGCCCCTCCTTGGATGAATAAAGGTAAATATTGTTTGGTTGCACTACTATCATATATGTTTATCTATGCCTTTCATAGCTTCACAATTCAAACAAACATTCCTAGAAACACACCCAGAGGGCACACACACACACACACACACACACGGGCCAAACATCTTCATTATTATTTGTGTTGCTTTATTCATCCTTCAGGTCTCCTGTAATGGCTGGAGGTCTGTTTGCCGTTAACCGGAAATGGTTTTGGGAGCTGGGAGGCTATGATCCAGGATTAGAAATATGGGGAGGAGAGCAGTATGAAATCTCCTTTAAGGTAAGTCATCAAGCCACTTTATAGAATACTTCCTTGCTGGTGTTGTCACGATGCTTTCATTCATCTGGGCTTCTGTCTTTTTTAACTAAAATTAACTTACTACAATACTTCTTTTCATTAGGAATTTCCACAGTGCCATAAGCAAATGCTCCAGAAGCCATATAAAAATCACACTGAGTGCAGCTCCCTCTGAAAACACAGTAGCTTACCACTGTCAAAGAATGAAGTTCCACCTTTTCCCTTTTATCAAGTCTTCTCCACTTACCTTTGCTCAGATGCTGTGTTTGTGCTCAAGTGTTGAGCTCAGTTCAACAAGCCAACAGAGAGCTAATCCAGCAGAAAAGGAAATGCAATAGCTTTTCTGTCCAGATCAACAAGTTTAATCATCTCTGGGGATAGGGTCCCCTGTAGTCAGCTCAAGAAAAAGGATAGAAATAGAGAAAGTCACAGGAAGAAAGGCTTCTTTCAATAGCAGTGGATCACTAGAGCAGCTCACCTGCCGTGAGCTGTTATCTGCAGGCCAGCTGTTCCAAAGGAAACTTTTTAAAATTGCATTTAAATTATTGTAATGGTATATGGGTCATTCAAGTGCTCAGGTTATGTACAACCAGCCATGTTATAGTATACCTTCATATCCTGTATGTGGACATGTGTATTGAAATCTGTTACTCGGTATTTACATGTAGAGCTGAAAGTCTTGTTACTTTCTACATGTAAGACATGAATTTTTATTAGTTTACTGAGGACTAACATGTCTAATTTTGAGTTTATTTTCCAGTATACCCAAGGACATAAAAATTTTACCTCATAGTCTCTACATGCAAAGTTTTGCAAGGGCTTGATAGAGTTTCCTGTCTTAGATTATTTGAGTCAAGTGTGTTAGGATAGAGCTTGAAACTGAAATTGCAATTCAAATTTACCTCCAGGATCTTTCCAGCCTACTTCCAAACTCTGTCAATGTAAAGCTCTTTAAATAAATATAACATGTCAGCCATGACTAATATCAGATATCTTGCAGCTGAGTTTCAGCTGCAATTAAAACAATGCTGAGGCCATTCTGTTGACTGAAATGTACAGTGTCACCCAGCACTGGTTTTCCAGCCTCTCTTTACAGGAGTTCCAAGAACTGCAAAATGTTTTGCATTAACTGGCTTACTCTCATGTTTCTCCAAATCATTTTTATACTTCAGGAAAATAAAACAGGAAGGCAGGGGAAACTCAATAGCTAGACTGTATGTTTAGAATATATTGATTTACCTTCTGTCCATTGAGATTGTTTCAGAGGCAAATATAAGTAGTCACTTGTAGCTGTCACAATGGACTCTGACAGGTCACCCATGATTTTATGATCCTATTTCAAATATTCCTTTTATTCATCATCGCAAAGAATATACTTGTTGTTCTCTCCAGACTTTGTATAGAAACCATGGTAACACAACTGGAAATTGAGATACCAGACCATCCCAGTGTGTTTTGTTCAAGGGATAGATTTTTTTTTTGGAGGCAGATGTGACACACTGGGTCTCATTTCAGTCATATCTCTGGATCTGTCTCAGTATATAATAACCTTAGGGTCCTTGTCCTTTCTTACTAGCATTAAAAAAAAGAAAAAAATTGTCTTTAGAAATTACTTCCAAGTAGGAGTAAATTCTTATTGGAAGAATTTAAGAGATGTAAAATAAAAAAAAAAATTGTTGTTTGGTTTGGAATAACAAAAAATTGGAAAAAATCGCAGAGGTAAAAGAGACAAAGAGAAAGAACTGAGCTTTTTTGTCAGAATCACCACAATCAGCTTGGGAAAGGTTTCTGCTTCAGCAGATTCTACTGTAGCTATAGATTGAGTTATCTTAAAACTTATTAAATGAGGACAAGTTGGACAGACAGTTCAATTTACCAGATCTGTTGAGAAAACTTGGTAAGATAGCAGACTTCCAAATTGTTCCAAAGTCAGTGAAAAAGCCGAATAACCAGACTGGTCCAGCTGCCTTGGCTTTACTTTTCTGGAGATGACAATTTACTCTTTCTTAGAGCATCCACATCTATGGCCTGTGGAAGCGTTGTCAGGCTGTGTGTTGATGCCACATCTTACTTTAATTTGCTTGGCAAATAATTATTTGGAGTACTGTGGATGGTGACACAGCCACAAAATGTCTCAAAATATGACCTCTTCATTAAATAGTTTCTTAGATTAAATTTTACATAAGGAAGTATTCAGGATTTTAATTTTTGGCAACATCAGGGTCCATTTTTTTTTAATCAAAAAGGTGTATGACATCTTGCTGACAGTACTCTTCGGTGCGTGTTAGACTTGTGAAAGCTGCAAAGCACTGGAGCTCACCTGATTAATAGCATCTCTTCACAATAACAAGGAAAGCCACTATTTGGGAAATCCTAGATTTAAAACTATCAGATTTAAATCTATTTACTACAGTTTAGGTAGTAATCACCACAATACAGAGTATCAAACATACTAATGTCCTGTTTTTCCTGAAGACCCTTGTGGTTGACCTTGGCTGTTTGCCAAAGGTCAACCACAAGGTTAGCCCAGCAAAGCTGCTCTAACCCCCCCTCCTCATGTGACTAGGGAAAGGGAATATAACAAAAGGCTCCTGGATCAAGATAAGGAGAGGGAGAGATCACTCACCAGTTACCATCACGGGCAAAGGTGACCTGAACTGGGAAAAAACATTTTATTACTGATCAAATCAGAGTAGAGCAATAAGAAATAAATGCAAATTTTAAAACACTTTCCCCCACCCTTCCCTTCTTCTCAACTTCCCTCCCAATTTTCTCCTCCTCCTCTCTCTCAGGGGAACAGGAAATAGGGACTACAGTCAGTTCATCATGTGTTGTCTCTGCTGCTCCTTCCTCCTCAGGGAGAGGAGTCCTCACAATCTTGACCTGCTCCAGCATGAGGTCCCCCAGGGGCAGCAGGTCCTCTGTGATCTCTGCTCCACCATGAACCTTTCAGGGTTTGCAGGGGCACAACTGTCTCACCATGGTGCTCCCCACAGGCTGCAAGGGAATCTCTGCTCCAGCACCTGGGGCACCTCCTCCCCCTTCTTCTTCCCTGACTTTGATGTCTGCAGAGCTGGTGCCCTCAGGGATTGTCACTGCTCTCTCTGGCTAAAGTTGCACAGTAACTTTTCCCTGTTCTTAAATCTGGTATGCCAGAGGCACCGCTGCCATTGCTGGTGGCCTTGGACCGGGACATGTCCGTCCCGGAGCCAGCTGGCATTGGCCCTGTTCAGCCTGAGGGAAGCTTCTGGCAGCTTCTCTCAGAAGCCACCTCTATTGCCACCCTCCTATCAAAACCTGGACGTGAAAACCCAGTGCAATCCTTTGCACTAGACATTCCTTAGGCATCGTAAATCATACCTTAACAAAAATGCTAATGCTGGTTCCCTCTTCTCTTGAAGATAGTCATCTGTATCTACAGTTGTTTTATCTTTATCCATCCAATACATTTTTTTAAGTTCTCTTCATCCCTGTTTTCCAAAACACACCTCCAAGTTCATTAATCCCTTTCATTATCATCAGAATCACTATTAATTCCCTCCACAGCTGTCAATCTTGGCAGCAGATAGGGAGTGGAGGAGCATTACCACTTATTAGTGCAGTTGTAATCTATATGAAGGACTGGCAAATGTGGAATATTGCCAGTTTTCTCTGAATTTTAGGGGTGCTGGTTAGTATTGTTGAAATACCCACAGTCATCAGTTCCCAGTTTACATGGTACAGTTTTAATATTTCCTGACAGGAAATCCCACTTCACCTCCAGTAAATGGTTTTGCAATTTTCAGACCCATTGACTGTAGATTTGCTGTCAGTGATCCTATTTTTCAATTTTTCTTTCATTTAGAGGAACATTCTCACTGTGTGTAAAAGTTCACAGGAAAATATTGTTCTTTCTCCTTTTCTACAACTGCCAAATCTGTTCTTTTGGCTTATATTTCAAGAAGAGTGAAAAAAACCCATAAAATTTTTATATTCCTATTTTCTACAACTTTTTCAGCCCCACTGTTGTAATACATTTCTCCTGTTTGTAGTCCATCCCTCTTGCACAATATGAAGAGCACCAAGTTGTTGCTTTTGCATGCAATACTTTATATTCCTCTTCCACCAGTTTACAGTTTGTATTTTCCCTTCATTTCAATATCTCTCACTGTTTTCTGTCTTGTTACTGACTCTCAGCAGCAGTATATTTCTCAGTAAGTTTTGAAGCCTAATGCAAAGTCCATTCAGTACCCTCTAAATCCTTTGAATAATTTGCTGTATGTTTATGTTCCTTTTCCCCAGCGACACATCCTCCACTGCTCAAAAATCATGAGTCTCTTCCTACAGTAATTATGACTACAGTGTAGCATATGGATTGGAATCTCAGTCTTGCATGCACAGTATTTACATTTTCCAGGTAGTTTCCAGGCTGGATCACTCATAAACCAGAGGGATAATGTGGGGGAATCATAAGAGAAGGCAGAATTCAATTTAAAAGACAACGAAGTAATGTGAAAGGAGAGTGATTCACCCAAAATCCCACAGGAGCTGTAGAATAGAACCAAAAAATACATCTGTGGCATCTAGACTCCAGTTAGGAACAAAGCCACATAACCACAGCTTAATTTCTTTTAAAGCTTGTGTTAATGCCTGCTTTTTGCTTTCAACCATCCCTATAAAATGTTTTGCAAGATTCTGTTAGAAGGAGCCATATAAAGATAAATTGTGAGATAGTCTCTAGTTGACACATAAACTACTCTTTTGATCTTTCCAAGCTGGAATTGCATTATTTTGGTTTCATCTTTGTTTTTTATACCTCAGCTGCAGACCAGATTCACTGCTTTTGTAAGAAGGAGACATTAACGATCCTGTGAGTTTCATTGCTTCTGATATAATTTTGCCAAATGTCCCACACCACCTGAGTTTCTTTCATGGTATGCTGGAGGTCTGTAATACTTAACACAGAAGTCATTCTCCAATTTCTTGTATTTAGTGCATGTGACAGAAAAATGCACATTTTAAAGACAAAATTGCCAGAATTTATCTTCTCAGGAAAGTATAAAAAATTCTTTTAATACCATTCTGAAGCTGAAAGATAAACAGGAACAGCTGCTAAATATCCTTCAAGGCAGCCCAAGATTCATTTCAATTACACTGCACAGCATACCTCAGGTGCAGCACAGCATTTTCAGGTTTTATATCTATCAAATATAAGCCTAACACAGTGTTATTTCCTCCCACTTGTTATTACCTCAGCATATCTGACTGGGGTTTCTTTTTTTTTTATTATTTTATATTGTTACCCTACTGCTTTAGAGGAAATGCAATATATGTCTACTGCAGCTCTCATTGCCTCAGTTAAAGTAATACTGGCCTATATATATATATATATATATATATATATATATATATATATATGTATGTATGTACATATATCTGTAATTTCTGCTTTCTTGTCTTTTTAATTTTTGCTGGGGCTGACCTTTGAGTCACGCTGCTATTCTGTCCATTCTTCAAAGGCTTAGAAGCCTTGATTAATCACAGCAATAATTTGTCTAGCCTTTGAAATGACACCTCCTTTAAAAAAACAAAAACAAATAGTAAACATACGTCCGCACTTTCATTGGGCACTGGGTTGTTTGAAGACAGCCACAGAGAGCAAATTTCCACTTAAAAAAATACAAATGATGTAACATACAAAGGAAATATTGTTAGAAAAATAAATAACATTATTTTAATACTCTTGGGTTTATGATAATTTACTATGTTTATGCGTGTTTTCCTGTGAATTTACTGTCATGAGATGAAACAGGTGAGGATTTCAAGGTTAATTTAAGAGGCAGATTTTGCAAAATTTTTGTTTTAAGAAAATTATCCTCGTGTCCCATGGCATGACTTTTTGCAAGATTGCTTTGGGTGGTAATAAGCTATTTTGGCTTGGAGGCAGAGCATTCATTTGAGTCTCCATTCCCAATCTACCAGCAAACTTCCTTTTTAAGAAGGACTGTGCTTACTAGGAGAGTAAATGACATGTCCAGAGGCACCTACCCAGAGCTCCTTTGGCTTAGTCAATTCTGGGATGGCAGGTAGTAAACAGCAGCTTCCTGAGTAGCTCTCAACTCTATCTGACTGCACATCAGTGTCCATGGAGTGTAAGGACAAAGCCCCACTTTCGCCACTTTCAAGCCTTCCTTAGACATTTACATTAGTGTATTTAGGTTTGCTCTGTAATGAAATTAGATCTTCAAACATTTCATTATCAAGTCTCAGTTGGATGCTATGGCTAATTGCTAAGGGGCTGTAAGGGCTGATACAAAAATGATCTGTAAGAAGCAGCTACCTAAATCACTTTGTCATTCAAACCTTCACTCCAACCCCTATTTTCACCGTTCACAGTATGAATAGCACAGTCAGTCAGGGGCTGGATTCCAGGACCAGGCAGATTTACCCACTATAATACAAACAGGCAAGCACAATGAAAGTGGCCAAACTTAAACTCCCTTCCAACCCAAACTATTCCATTTCTATTTCCATTTCTATTTCTATTTCTATTATTTCTATATATTTTATAATTTTCTTTTGAACATACTCTGCTTTTGCACAGTGAGGTTCTGGGTGGGAGAGTCTGCCACGTTACCATATCCCAGTTACCAGCATGCCAAGAAGACCACCATGACTGTGGGAGGGGCCAGCACAGAATGATGTGGGTTTTTTACATCCACATTAGTTAAAATGTACTTTTTTGCCTCATTTGTTTCCAGGAATCATTCTTTCATTCACTTGCTTTCTGTCTGCTTTCCAGGTGTGGATGTGTGGAGGTGGCATGTACGATGTTCCATGCTCTCGAGTTGGACACATCTACAGAAAGTACGTCCCGTATAAAGTCCCTTCTGGAACCAGCCTTGCACGGGTGAGTAATTGGGTCTTGCTGGTTTTCATTTTCATTCATTATCAGTCCCTTCATTCCTTGTGAACCAGTTTCCAGTAAACTATTAAAATGGAAAATGAATGTTTCTTTATTTTTCTGAAATGAGATGTGCAATTACTGCAGTTATCCTGCCTTTCAGAGATAAGATTGCCAAGAATAAAATGGAAGCTTAAAATTACAGGGTTGGACGTCTCGGCACAGAAGCATGTTTCACGTTGATTCAAAAGAACCTAGGAATAACCCAAGGCTTGTGGTTCTCAAATTGCACAGTGTTGTCAGTCGTAGTTCTTGTAAGCAGGACCAATTTGAATGCACATTTTCTTATCAGTCAGCAGAACTGGCGGAATCTCATGGAAGGGATGTTTTCTGAGGCAAAGGGACTGAGTAACAATTATTTGAGCGTCTGTCTGATTATTGTGTAAAATCTGGTTATGGAACACAGCCAGCTTGGAGCTCTGAGAGTGAGAAATTACAAGACCTCTAGACATTTCTCAAAGACTACTGAACATATTCATATCCATGAGGGGGCTTTTTGCTCAAGAGAAAATGTTCTGTAACTTTCTGGAGATGTTCACAGGATGTCAAAAGATGGGAGATGAAGGGCACAGATGTACCTTCCAGGAAGATACTGGTATTTATTCATGCTTGAGTTTAATCTTTTCTGGTTTAGAGGTTTTTTTTTTTATAATAAAATGGCATTAATATTAAAGTCTGCATATTGCCATAGGGTAATACTTTATGAATCATAGTTTTTTTAATAATGAAAATGTGGTATGAATAAAAGAATGAATTTCTTGCTTTGAGGGGGAGAGATTCTCAGTTTCAGCACCGCAGGACCAGGCTTGCTGTACTAAATGCAGCAGAAAAAGGAGGCTGCCTGTGCTGCCTGCCTGCCGGCTGACTAGACAGAAAGAAGAATTTGCATTAACCGGACATCAGTGGTACACAATTCAGTAATGGAATTAGTGGTGGGGGAAAAAACTGTATTGACTAAACTGTGAGATTAATATCTTCCCCAAGTATAGCTCTATGTCCTGTCAGAATTGCCCCATCCAGATTTTTGGACTGCCTGAATGAAACTGCTTCATTTATTATATTCCCTGCAAAAAATCACACAGAACTGGAAATAATAAATTCAAACCTCAGTGTCTGTTTTCTTCTGTTACAGCACATAGTATCTCATTAGAGAATGTGCTCTCTCATGCACTACCTGTAGGAGCAAAATAGAGTAATTTCTATTTGTGCTGCTGGCATCTTGCACGGTTCTGTGCTGAACTGACTTTCATGGTGGCACTGTGAATGCCTACAACCATCATGAAGCCACAGCCTGCAGCCTCCCTGTACTATTTATTTTAGCTTGATTTCAATAAATAATTTATGAAATATTACTGAAAAATATTTCTAGTTAGAAATCTGATATCTCTGCCCATGCACAGACTGATTGCTTTATAACTTGTGGGAAAAAAGATCTAGTGGTGGGTCGTATCCTTCAGTTGGGTAGTTCTTTCTGTGTTGTGATTGTCCAAAACATGATGCTTAGGTAAATTTGTGACATATAGTTATCACTAACAGAAACTTTGAATTTTCAGATTCACAGCTTTTTTCCAGTATGGTATTCTTTCCATTGCATCAAGGCTAACAAGAGCACAAGAGCATCTGTATGTTTTGGTGTTTTGGGCTGTTTCAATAACTAGGCAAGAGAATTTTGTCCTTGACCCATCATATTGTGTGTAATTTTAAATCTAAAAATATACTCTTTTGCTCATCCTTTCCAGAAAAAAAAAAATCAAGGACTGATTAATCTTCAGTGTGTCCTAAATGGAGCTGTTAGCCAAAATAATATTAGGCAAGTATCCACAGGAGTGGCCTGAATATTTTAGCTGTCTTTGCTTTATCCTCCAAATGTTATATTATTCAAAGACTATAATCTACTCTTTATGAGTTTTTTATCAAAAACTTCGTTCTAGGTCAAATATATAATAAGTAACGCACTCAAGAATATCTGGAAATATTATCCCCACTGCCAAAAGGAGTACTTTTCACTACTAAGTGTTTTCCACAATGGTTTTTACTAAATCCTTCTGCTGTTTAAAGGAGTGTGCCAGAGATGCAGTTCACAAAAGAATGAGTCCAAAAAGCCCAGCTCTGATTCTATAAAGGAGTGCAAGAGACCTTTGTTAATCAAGGGAGAATTTCCCCTTGTGCAGATACTGCCTAAAAGGTTGACAAATTTTCCCATCATTTTCCCCAGCAACAGCAGAAGGGAAACGGGGACTGGAATTAGAAAGAGAACAGAGTTCCCAGACAAATTCAGGCACAGCCCAAATCATGCCATGGGTTTCCTTTCAAGCTGTTTCAGCTTATGTTTACCCTTAAAACATAATCTTTAAAGTGAGCATTTTAACTTCCCCTGGGATTTCACCTCTCTTTATTTTTTAGCAGTGAGTTTCAACACACAGTTTCAGCCAGCTACGTAATACTTTTCCAATCTCTGTATCTGCTTAGAGAGCTGTAACCTGGCATGAGAGTCATGTCTGCTTTAATAAATCAGAGACCTGTCAAAACCTTTGTTGCACCTCCCCATTGCTAAATAATCATTATTGTACCACACATAATAGTATGGATCATGATATCAATTTTATATCTTACCTGTCACTCAAGATTGGGGAAGCTTATGCATATTGGTTGCTGCCACATGCCACATTAATTGAAAAGCATACACATATAAAACAGTTAGTAGTATTGCTTGGTGATGCAGAGCAAAATTAAAGAAAGCCGCAAACGTGTAGTTTTATAAATAGGTTCTGACAATTAAATGTAGATAAAAAGACTGAATATTTTTGTCTGAAGATGTCTTAAAATATTGCTGCTTGCCGAAAGCAGTCAGTCTTAAATTCACAGGCAATTGCACATAAAGAAATATTAATAGGCATGCAGATGTCAACACTGATTCCACTTTTTAACCTGGAAACATCACATAATTATTCATTTATTCCAAACCTGTAAATCTGCACAAAACTGCAGTAAATAATAACTAATGTCACCTGTTTGTTTTAGGTAAGGCATGTTTAGAAAGCAAACCCCCAGATCCTAAAACTGCTGAATTGTTTTACTGGATTATTTTAGTTGCTTTTTGTATTTCTGATTCTTGGTTCCGTTTTAACAATTTCAGCTAAGCCATTTACTTTTAGCAAGTTACCTATGAAATTGGACTGCAGAATATTCTTAGCATTTTCTTCTAGGTGTATCTCAATTTATTGTTTATTTTCTTTAGTTTTCTATTTGCTTTTTGGGTGTTTTTTTTTTCTATTTGTGATTCTATAAAAGCTGTAAGAAATATATCAATAAAATCTCACTGTTCCATAGGATTTGCAGAGATGATCTAAGTTTCAAAATATATCCACAGAATTTCTTTTTCTTGCAGGTATTTTACACAGCATTTTAGGATTAGCCACAGAGCATTAGCACATTAGGCCTTTTTGAAGGGGAGGGCAATCCCACTGAAATTCCAATTGGATGCTAACCCAGCAGAGTGGTGAATCCTAACCTTAAGTTAAATTCCTCCCTGTCTGCCAGGACATGGGATCCCACAGTTTAGCTATCAAAAAAGATCACAAAGAAGATGGAGAACTAGATATTCTTGGACAATAACTACATCAAAATGGTGGTAGCTACTTCTCAGGATTTACTGCATAGACTAGCATTGGAACCCAAGTTATGAGGCTAAATAAATCTATTTGGAGTCAAACCCCTGAACTCCTCCAGGCTCAGCTGCTGGGATGGGCTATGGACTGTATGGGTCTGTAACACAAGCATGGCAACAGCCAGCAAATTTGTGGAGATGTTCTTGGTGTGTCATTCTGTGTTCCACAGCCCCTCACAGCCACAGAGCTAGGGGCAGGCAGCATCCTCACTGGGACCAGAAACATCCCTGCCCCCAGACTCTGCAGGTTGGCCTCATTTGAGCAAGAGGTTTCGGTTTTCCAGTGCATAGATCTATTTTAGTGTACCTGGTGGAGATACAAACTTTTATAGAGAGGATGAAATCCTGTTTGTTTTTAGATGACGTCTGTGGAATTTCAGATCTAGGTATTTGCAAACTACTGGCTGAAAATAAATAGGCTCTTGCTTCTCTGCCAGCTGTGCTAACTCATAGAAGATTTATTTATATACCACACGAGCTTTGTCATCTAGTTATAATGCTGTCTTCCGTGCAGATACATTTCTTTTATGCCTGCAGACATCTCTCTATTTGGGTTGGGTTTTGCTGGTTCTTGGAGTTTTTTACATAAATATTTCTGATATGAAACCCAATTAAGTTTAAAACACAGTTATGTGTAAAGAACCAAAAGAAAATACCCAAGAAGGGGAAATATTGACAAACAATAGCAAAATGTATAAATTAAAAGGGAGTTAGGGGAGAAAGGGAAAGGTAGAAAACCCCTAGATGAGGCTTAACTGATGTGGGCAGGTTAAAGCATTAAAAACTGAACATCACAGGATTGTGGTTGGTGTCCAGGAAATGTTTTATTCTTTTTCTGCTGTAGAAATTCACAGAAATGGTAATCTTTGTGTTCTGACACTGATGGAAGGATCTTTGCACAAAACTGAGAGTATCGTTTTTCTCCTCGTGAGTGCTCTGGAGTTTTATACCCTGCTGCTTCTGGCATATTAATCCATACTTGTTGGATGAGCTCCTCCAGTCACTTCGTTCTCTTCTCTTCTCTTCTCTTCTCTTCTCTTCTCTTCTCTTCTCTTCTCTTCTCTTCTCTTCTCGATTCATTGTAACATTATGCTACCGATATTCCAGAGGAACATAAAGTTGTCTTTACTGGATAGATCCCAACGCACTTTTAAAATACATTTTGTGTAAAACAAACTGTATATTGTATTATTTCCAGCCAAATTAAATACAGCTGCTTGTAGAGGTAAACAGGGCACCCATTTTGAATTAGCCACAATACTGTGCTTCACAAAAGAAA